TTCAAATTAAATTGTTGCAATAAAAAAACGAGTACCCGAAAACTGAATGATACAAACCAAATACGTATTTAATTAGTGTGAATTACTTTCAATAGAAGTGTTAAAATCTATGAATGTTTATATGTTTCGGACGATTGACTGTCTATGAAAAGGTTGTTAAAAGCAATGCTTTTTGATTTACTCTTGTTATAATGTCTATTATTGAACCATTATTATTTTGCTATTTATGTGCAAATAAATATAGATATGTAAGTATGTATGTGATGCATTTTCCATTATCATGAATCTATTGCTGAGAATAATTTTATAATAAAATATGCAAAGCACGCAGTAATACCATAAAAAAAAATATTTACAAGCTTTATACAAGTGCTAATTATTGAAAAAAAATTAATTTAATTAACTGGAAAGTGCAATTATAAAGTAAAATGCGTTTGTAACCTCTAAGCGCCGGGACACGTCAACTTATTTTGGTTGTGCATAGCGCGGGTGTGCTTGCCGGTTTGCTGCAACAGGTCATGGTTTCAAGCTGTTTGAATTGGAAAGTCATGGGAAATCTTTGATTTACTTTAAAATTACAATTAAAATCAATTCAAAATCTTTTCTTTAAGGCAAGAAAATACCCGAACCCGCGAACTGTTTTTTTCTTTTATTGACAGCTTAGCTATGAGTAATCGATAAGATGCAATTTTCGTATCGATTAACTGATAATGGGCTTTTTTTTTGCAAACTTTTGTATTTTTCCATTTTTATCTGCAAATAATTTAATCTAATGAATCGATTTCTAATACATATTATGCAAATTATCAAACTCTTGAGACTTTGCTAAACATTTAATCATCATTAATTTCAACGATCAATTTAAGCAGAAAATTCTTAACGTCAAAGTATTTAAATTATAGTCAACAGAATTTGCATAAAAAAAGTTCGATCCAAACATTTAAAGCGCGAAAAATTATCGTAAATCGATATACTAATATCTGATGTAGTCTAACAGCTGTTCACAAAAATTCGGCTCAGTAATGTTTACATATATCAGAACCACACAAGCAATAATATAGCTAGGAATACTTAAATTTCATGTCTTAAATAAATGTTTACATAAAATCAAAAACAAATGTTTGATTAAAACCAGTACAACCCTCTATGTGTGTGTGTTCTTTTATTTAATACTGAAGTGGCTGGCAAACCACAAACTGCGGGAGTTACCTTACTGAAGTGCTCACTTGGAAGGACCAACAATTTCCGTCATTTCATTGAAAAGATTCTAATGCAAGGCGAATGTGGCGCCCTCCTATCACATAACAACAGTAAAGCAACCAGTTGATTGCAAAAGAAGAAAGCATATTGTCGCTTGTGAAGAGTGTAAGCTATGGGGCGCCAACTAAATGCGCGCAGAAATGTAGCCCGCCCAGCTGTGTTTATTTTGATTGACGGAAGTGGATGGCTAGGAAACTGAATGTGTGCGTACAACAGAACATGTAGAAAAATTAAATAAGAGCAACAAGAACAGTTCAAGCGTGACATATTATTTTGCGCAAGGCGTAAATGATAAATAGATCAGTTTTGAAGTGTAATTAACCAAAACCGAAATTAGAAAATTGAAAATAGAACAATTATCGTTTAAAAAAACAAAAACAAATAGTAGAATGTTGTTCACGTCAACTTGTATCTTAATTTTTATTACAAAATATAATAATATTATAGCAAAAAGAAATCCTTTGTTTTTCAAATAGATGCCGTTGCTTATCTGTATCTCGCGTTGTATAAGTCCGATCGGGTTCCGCTAGATGGGGTTAGAAAGATGATATTTCATACTAAAAATTTTCTAGCAGTTTTTAGATTACTTGATTTAGTTTTGTTTGAGCGTGAGTCAAAGATGGACGCTAGCAAAGAGAAAATACGGGCGAAAACGACAGTCAGGCGGCTGAAAATGTGTATAGCGTTAATGGTCCTTATTGTAATAGCTTTCAGCACATAATAATGCATATTTTCAGTTTCATTCCGGTAATTTTGATGTAAAAGATGCTTTACGGAGTGGAAGGTCAATTATCGAAAATGTCGATCAAATCATGGGCATTGAATCAAAAATAATGGATTTATTTTTACTACACCTAATATATTGTGATTTTCACAGTTAATTAAGTGATATTATTATACTTGTTGTATTAATTGATATTATAAGTGATTTTATTATACTTGTTTTATTTGTTTAATTTTTTTTTTTAATAAATTTATATGCAAGCGATAAGCAAATAAAATTTATAGATAATTTTGTTTATCGTTTTCGCCAAAAATTTCAAGGTTATATCGTTAAGTCGTTTTTTTTTTTGGTGTCTAACTTTCGAAACTAGATAAATATTTATTATATATTAGATTATTCTAAATAAATAGTATACAAAATTATTTGATCTTTACTTATTTTAATGTTTTTATATTGAATGTTATGAATAAATTTGTCTAAATACTTTTAAAATGCTTTTTTTGGAGAAAAAAACTTCAAAACATGTAGAAATCATACAAATAGACCAAATCGAGTGTTCTCCATTCGCATAATTAATAAATGCAACGTGTGTACGCCCCTTAAGCCGTTCGCAAAATCGAAATGTCACTTTATAAATGACATTTTTTTTTTTCATTTTTAATCACATGTAAATTTAATTATCAACGTATGAACAACAACATCAATACACTTTAATATAACATTTTTAGAAATTCTAGAATAACAATCACGTCAACTACAAAGATATACATTTGTATGCATGTAATTGCAGAGCAGCGAACATAAAGTTTATTTGTTAATTAACAGCAAAATAATTATTAATCTAAATGCTAATAAGTAAAATGAAACAATTGAGAAGCGCTAACAACCAGAGATGTAAGAAAAAAAAAAACAATTGTATAAAAGGCTAAAGAAACATTTATTTAAGGTCATCAACTATTGTCATGTGATAATGGCATGGCATAAAAGGTGAGACATAAAACGGAAACGGGGTCAGCAAGCATGCAACCACAAACTAGTAGGCGTTGGTAAGAGAATAATAACGCGTATAATTATTAGCAGCTTTTTGAAAAAAGTGCTAAAAAATCAAAGCAAAAATGCACACAGCCCGCATTTAATATATGTATGTATTGAATGTAAATAAGCTGAAACTTAGAAAATAATAACTGTCATTTACATTGACAGCCACCACCGCCAGCTGTCACCTTAGTGCATACGTATCTCTTTTTTATTTTCAAAATGCACAAAACAGCTGATTTCAGAAACTGGTTTCATCACAAAGACGGTTGTGGTTTTATTAATTACAATAAAAAAGTTGTTGATGAAAGTTATTAAATGTAATTTTAGGAATTTCCCATTAGTTGTTTGTTGATTTCTAAGTCAAGCAAAGCACTTTAAGCAAAACAGACAAAAGCAGCGGAGTGTTGATGATACAAAAATGTATACGTTTTTGCAGAGTTTTTCAACTACATACATATATACTCGTATGTACATATGTATCTTAATTTATAGGCAAATAATATTTAGGTATTACTCAGTGTATTCGAATGTAGATGGAAAGGTTTATCATTTAAGCTTATTTAATGCACAAGTAAGCTAAGAGAAAGACAGATAAATATGCAGTTGGTTATCATTGGACAGAAAAAATTGTTGAATTATTATTTTTTTTTTAATTGTCTATTTTTTAATATTTTTTTATAAACATTTTTTATATATTTTTTTGAAAAGTAAGTTTAACTAGTCTCAAGTGACTGCTCTTGTCATTTTTCTCGTGCAGCTTAATAGCGCTTAAATTCTTTGGAATTTTCGATAAACTTGCAAAATATTATATCTTTACAAGAAGTTAGGTAAATGCGTGAAACTTTGAAAAGCCGCTGACTTTGCAAAAAATATATCAAATAATATCTTCAAATTATGATAACACTATCGGTATTTTTTTACAGTAGCAGTTATACAGTTACAATGTACTCCTATATATTTTTGTACATTTGTATATTTAACAGATTAAAAAGCATTAAAATTTTTTATTATTTTAATTGAAGTGATTGAAGGCATTAAACTATAACTGGACAATATAGGCGTCGATATCGATAGTTTGCTGTGCACATATCGACATAAGGGTAGCATGATTGATAAAATTATTGACAAGCAACTGATTGGTATTTAAATTAATTCGTTTTTTTTTTTTTAAATTAACATACATAAATAGATTATTGTTATAGTAAAAATATTAGAACATTTATAAAAAGCTCTTCAAAAAAAAAAGAAATGAATGGAAAAGCAATGTAACTATTTTTTTTTTCTAAAAATAAATACGCAAAAATTATGTTCTTTCCAATAATACACTTTACTTCTTTTTTTTATTAAATCTAATTTTATGAAGCCTTCTATACTGTTCAATCAATCAACCCTAAACATTAAACAATCGATTATCGAAAAATAACATCACTTGCATTCATATTTGACATTTGCGGCTTATAAATTCAAGAAATTTACAGCGTTTTGATTTTTGAAGTAATACAAACATAAACTTTGGCGTAGAGCAATGAAAAGGTTTGTATTGAAATACATAAATCTGTAGAAATATATGTACTTGTATTTCAAATTCTTAAAGATATTAATCTATAGCTACTGAACATATGGTAAGTGGTCCGGGTACTTTTTAGATATGCTAATATGTATATGCATTTGATTTCGTTTTTGCACCCACATACATATATATCTGTGTATACATATGTATATGTATGAATTTACGCCTATATAAGCAGAAACGTTCAAATCACTTGCGAGGTATGAGTATTGTAGACGTTAAAACGTAATGTAATGGTGAAATAGGTGTGTTTGTATGTATGGACATATATAGTGAATAAATGTAGGGTGATTCCCCATTTGTTTTTCTATCAATTAAATATATATCCAAAAAATGTTAATAGTTTTTTATTTTTTTTATATTTTTTGTTATCAGATTTCACTGTTTATATACTCACAAACATACCTACCTTTTGTAATCGTTGCTTTTGTCGTTATTTATCAGTTTCCCGGTAGTTAGTTCCGTGTTCTCACATTTGTTGTTGCTGTTATCAGATGTTGCATCAGCTGAGTCAATTAAGAATTTCTTTTGTAAGCGAGTATCAACGCACATATGAACATACATACAAACATATGTGAATACATATATACACACATATATATATATGAAGGTATGAGGTGAATAACACGAGAGTGATGAATAAGTGAAAATGCAAACACACAGGTATTGAAATAGTTTTTTTCTACTTTAATACGAACTTATTATGTTAAAAAAAAAATATTCAGAAACATTAACATTTTCTTTTTTTTTTTTGGCTTTCTTTCAACTTTTCGCTTTCGCAGCACTTAAACACAAACTAACACACGCTTAATTTTATTTATTTTTCAAGCACGTTCTAAATTTATAGATTATTTTTTTCGATTATTCTTATCAAAATTGTTTTTTTTTTTTAATTTTTCTTTTACTAAAATTCGTTGCTTGTCTGATGTAACAATTTATGCTTTTCTTTGATTTTGCTTGTTTTCAAAATTACAGATGTTTCTTTGGAAATTATACAAACCTACAGAATTTTTTGCACTTTTTACATAATTTAGCTCACGCTGACATACGCTCAATCGGCATATAATCACAGCTGTAACAACAATGCACTGGCAACCAGCAGCAGGCAGCAGATACTGTGGAGGTGACAGATATATATGTATGTAGGTATGAATGTGCGTTTAGAGCGCGAATATTTATTGGCAAGCACTTTGCTGGTCAATTTGTTAGTGATAGTAGCGGTGGAATCGTTTTCACTACTATTTGTCACTTTAGTATGTATGTACGCCAGTGCATACATATGTATATAGTATGTATGGTCTTAGCTAAACTACACTCGCTTGACGGCTGATTGGACTTTGTTTCCGATTTTGTATTAATATTTATTGTCGTAGAAAATTTTTACTCTGATTATTTTCTATATATTTTTTCAATTTTACGTTGACACTTGTGCCCTGGGAATGTGTTAAAATTTTATTTTGAGGGGAAAAAATTGGTTTGCACTACACAGGTAACACTGATTAATTGGCTGCTTGCATTGTTGCGTTCTTAAGAGCCTTAACAGTCTTGTAGCCGTTGTACTGGCTACGGCGTTTAAACAAATTATACTTTTTTAAAAATGTTGGTCAACTCACAATGAATACGTTTATAGATGTGTGTGTGTACATATGTTTGCATATATATTTGTATAAAAAATAAGTATATACACTCGCGCGTAGAAACAAATCAAATAACAACCAATTCACAAAAACTCAACCAATCGACTGCTGCAGCTGACGGCATCAGCCATCAGTTGTTGTCAGTTGTTTTCGGCTGTCAATTTTTCTAGCAAGGTTTTTTATTGTGCGCTGCTGTTTTTGCGCTGTTTTTAGCATACGCTTTGGAAAATATTTTTTTTTTTATAAATTTGCTTTGTTTATTACTACAATGTCATTTTGCACACTTCCAAATTTTTACATAGAAATTTGTAATATTTGTAGCACAAGGAGAGTGAAGGAAATACTTTTCTCTGCCGTGTTTAAATTGTTTTGATTACGGGAAATCCTTTTTGAGCATTTGTCTAGTGTACTCTGCCATTCATGAATTCTCTTTTCCTCTGACTTTGATTCTCTTTTGTGATTGTACATCAGCTGTTTGTCTTACAAAAGCAAAAACAACTTCATAAGTATTAAAAATAACAATGAAAAACGTTGAGGGGCTTATATTGTGAATATGTATTATCTTTTCATAAATAAGTCGCCTTAATTGTGGTATTTGTAACAAATAAGTGGAGCCCGAATTAATTTAAACGAAATAAAATAATGCAGTTTTCATTAAATTTGAAGAATTTGTTTATATATTGCTTAATCGGTAAATATTTAATGTCGGGCCTAAAATCTTGTTTAATGGGCTACAAACAAACTATTTATTTGGTCACTAACAATGGGTTAACACAGGTGATGGTTTGACAGTCGTTTATATTAACATACCTGTTTTATTTACTAAACAGCTGCTTTTACGTGGTCGCTTGCACAAGATACTTCGTAAACAAAATCATAAATAACCATCTCAAATAACCTCAAACAAAAAAACCATAGCAACTGGCAGGAAATTAATAAAGCTGCATTTTTTATTGAACAAACAATTATTTCTGAAAAACGCAGAAGAGAAAAAAAGCGCATCACCTTAAGCGCAAAATGGATAAGCCGCAAATGATTGAGCACATCCAACAGAATGTTGACTACACAATTTACGATGTCAAATGGATACCGTGCTCCGCGAAATTTGTAGTGCTCGGCTCTAAACCCAATAGCAATGGCATATTGGAGATATATGAATTGAATGAAGCTAGAGCTGAGAAAGTCAAACAAGTTGTTAAGAAGACAGCCTTCAAGTGTGGCTCTTTTGGTGCATCCAGTTTGCGTAATCGGCATATGGCTATTGGTGACTTTGAAGGACGTATGCAAGTAATGTGAGTTGGTCACAATACCCAATATATATATATATGACGCATGCTTAAATATCTTTAATCTTTCAGCGATCTTGAGCGCCCTGATTTACCCGTATATAATGTAGAAGCACACTCAAGCATTATAAACAGCATAGATGCAATTGGTGGTAAACAGTTAAACTGTGGTGCACCGGAAATTGTAACTGGTAGTCGTGATGGCGCCGTCAAGGTGTGGGATATGCGTCAAGGTGCAGCGCCCGTTGTTGACATTAGTCCGGAAACGGTGAAGGGTGATGTCGTAAATCGTACAGAACGTCGTGATTGCTGGGCTGTGGCTTTTGGAGACAGCTACAATAACTCTGAACGAAGTGTTGCCGCTGGCTATGATAATGGTGATCTAAAGCTTTTTGATCTGCGTCAATTGGCTGTACGTTGGGAAACAACGCTGAAGAATGGTATTTGTGGCATTGAATTCGATCGTGCTGATATACCAATGAATAAAATGGGTGTAACAACATTAGAGGGTGGGCTGCTTGTATATGATATGCGTACACAACATCCAACAAAAGGATTTAGTTTTGTGGAAGAGCGCAATGCTGGACGCAGTGTAGGCTCGAATGGTGTCATAACTGGGCCCAAATCGACAGTATGGGCTATAAGACATTTACCACAGAATAGGGATGTATTTGTTTCTTGTGGTGGCACTGGCTCTATACGTCTGTGGCAATATGAATATCCGGAAAAGAGACGCAAACCGGATGCTGATAATATTGAACTAGGTGTGCCGGGTACGTTAAATATGTTGCACGCCTCTACAGTGTCCTCACAACCCGTGCATAGTTTTGATTGGCACCCGGACAAATTGGGTTTGGCTGTGTGTGGTTCGTTTGATCAGTGTGTACGTGTTTTAGTGACCACGAGATTAAATTTACTTTAAATATTTGAGTTTGTAGTTAAAATATATTTTATTTTATAAACATAAAATTTATAAGTTTTTTTCTTTATCAAACTAGTTTCAATTAGCATTCATGCGCTCTTTCACCTTTGCTGTGAGCGTATCGAGTTGCTCGCGCAGCACCACCAAAGCTTCTTCGTTTTCTGTCCACTTTTCAATAACCTTTGCAGTTGCTCGTAGCACAGCCTGTGCTGCAAGACGCGCGGAATTCAGTTGAGATGTAATCATTACATCAGTTTCTTCTGCCGTATGTTCCTTGGTTGCTTCCAGTGATAGTTCACAAGCTTGTTGGCAAATTTGTATTACTTTAAGGGCATAGGGCTGCTTGGTCGCCCACTCTAACTCTTTTGTAGTATACGCATTTACCGCCTTCACAAGCTTTTGCGCCCTATTCAGTGGGGTGATTGCCAGCAAAGCGGCCAATTCCCAAACTTTCGGCTCGTTGCCATGCTTTATGCATTGTTGTGCCATTAACGTTACGGCTTTCTTACGTAAACGCTCTTGTGTTTGACCTTTAGCATCAGCCTTACCCTCCACAATTAAACCAATAGTTACACAAAGCACCTCCAAATCTAAATAGCGATCCTTTAAGTCGCTCAAACGACTATATGCATTCAAAGCGTCTTCTAGATTGCACGTATCCACCGAGACAACCATGAAGTTCTCCCAAACCTTGAATAATAAAAATTAATATAAATTCTTATGAAATCCTTCAGTTGATTTTACCTTCCAATTATTATAATTGCATTTCAGCGATTCGCTCAACACTTTATGTGCACGCACTTTGTCACCCAATTTTACGAGCGCCTTTGCCAAGTTGTTCCAGGATTCAAAACCTAATGGCTCAATATGTGTATATGTTATATAAGCATGTACAGCGAGCTCCCAACGTTCTAGTTGTATGGCAGCATAACCCAAACGTAACCATATCTTCTCTTGTAAGGAATTTATTTCTACAGATTTCTCTAAGTGAGGTATCGCGTCGGCATATTCCGCTTTCCGGAAATAATATGTACCCCAATGTGCTTGTGCTCTGCCACTTGTGTGTTTGGAGAACTCCCAGGCAGTCTCGTAACAATTTGGGTCATCAATAGCATCGCCCAGCAGACAATGAAGTAGCACTGTTGGTTTTTTCGCCAGTTCCTGTTGTATTATCTCAGCGGCTTTATGACGTAGCTCCAGTTTGGTATAACAGTGTATAACTTCGCGCCATGCTTGTATTTCTAAATAAACATCTAAAGCTGTTTTTGTCATACCCAATGACATCAACAACTCGCACAACTGCAGTTGAACCTGCCATTTGGGTTGTAAAAAGCTAGCAAATGCATAGGAGAGCCTTTCTGGTAGTGAATATATTGTACCATCCAGCAGTTTAACAGCACCTTCACACTGTTTCCAGCTGCGTTCTACGGTACGCCGTTGATTAGACTCTTGTACACAGTTGAGCAGTAGAGCCGACTGGCGGACTTGTAGTGGGCCATGCTCCTGGTATAATAGAGTTTTTATATATGGCTCTAATTCTTCGTCCGCAAGACGATCTTTGGGTTGGGAACGTTTAAGCTGTTTACTGTAAAATATAAACACACAAATAAGTATTTAAAATTTATAAAAAAAAATGTATGCGTAATACTGACACTTTTGCTAATACCAAGGCCTGCAAAACACTTGGTAGCGTCATCACATCATTATCTTTAGGTTCAATGAAGCGTATGCGCTCTAGCCGCGTATCATCGTCTAATAACAGTAACTTGGGTATGATTGTACTGCCATTAGTGGCCAGCGCTAAAGGCAGCTCGGAATTGGTATGCTGCACTTTGAGGCATAATTGTGGCAGCGGCTTTTGTTGGAATTTGGTACGTACGCCAAGTAAGCCTAATATTTCGAAAACATTCATCTAATGTATGACATGGAATAACATACAAATAAATACCTTCCACATTCAACACTATGCCAAAATACTGGCACATATCCTCAAGCACTGCATCCGACTTTTGTGTGCGATGAAAGAGTAAATAGCTATTCGCTACCTCTAGATAAAGCAATGCTTGTAACTCTTTATCATCAACGTTATGTACATTTTTTAGAAGCCAATCAGCAATCACTTTAAGCTCTTCATATAAATTGCTAGTTAGTTCATCCAACACTTGCTGTTGTATGTAAATCAAACGCATGTGCCACCATTGTAAATACTAAACATGAACATAAATAAAAAATTTACGATTTTTATGTTTCGTCATTGGTAATAACCGACTACTCACTAAAGCATCCGACCAGTGCTGACGCAATAAATTTACAGTTTCTTTTGCTATCACCAGTAATTCACCTAATTTTACATTTGGATTTATTTCTTCGCCATTTTCCATAAGCCTCTTGAATGGATCATATTCAACGAATTTTTTTGCTTGCAAAATATTACTGATTTCTTCTAATTGCTGGAATGGTCCTGTGAAATTATTTTGAACAAACAACAGCGTCAATTCGATGGCCTGACAAAGTAATGTATCTGCTGCTTCTAAGCTGGGCGCTACATTTTTATTTTCTTGCCAATTATCTAAAATCGTTTGTAAACGTGTTGTACTCCAATTGCATGACCACAGCTGGCGTATTGCTTCTGTGGGTAGATCTATTAGCGTACAACAAACATGTGTTAATAAATTACAAAACATTTCTTTATGATTTGTGTATAATACCTTCTGTTGTAGTTCTTTCATTAAAATTGCATAAGTGGTATTTATTAAATGGTTCAATGCTCATTTTGAGACTGTTTTAATTTAATCACTTATAAAAAAATACAAATTATTTAGTTTGACAGTCTGCACGTGCGTCCGCAAAAGTTTTGTTTATTGTTGTTTATTTTTTGACTTTTTAGCAAAACCATTTAAATCAGCTGTTGCCCGCAAAATGTATCGATATAATCACTTTGATCAACTATCGTCAATCTAACTCATTCTGCACCATTAAATTTTCATCAGATAAAAATGTCATAAAAAAGTATTTCAAAAAAATTAAAAATGCAGATGGGCTGAAAATTGCGAGAAATTGTTCAATCTATCATTGTTGGTGTTTTCTTGATCTAGTTTCAAGCCTAAGAAGCCAAAAATATCTTAAATCTTTTCAAATCTTTATACTCAAAAGTCAAGATTTGTGAAAACAGATACTAAATCGTATCATACACATTTATTAATAATATATAAAAAAAAAAACAGAAAATTAATGAAGAACAGTAATCTATGTAAAGTTATATTTGGTAACAGGTCACAGTTCACATACCTTAATTTAAACACTCACATAAATAGTATATGATATATATCATAAGAGATTATACATTTTTATAGGCAATAAGAAAGGTCACGATTGCTATTATACTTTTATTTATTATTTTTATTATACACTCCTAATGTTTTAGTGTAAAAACGTGGGGTGAATTTGCTATTTTTTTCTAAAGAAATTTTAGTTTTGAAGTTTAGCTAATATTTCTGGATTTTTTTTTTTAATTTTCTATGTGTACAATAACTCATTGTACAAGCCTCATTAATCCATCTCGACAATTACAGTTGGTTAATTAAATGTAAACGCGCTAATTAACTCCATTAAAATATTGCGGTGTGTGCTATTTTCGATGCCTAATTGTTGCAAATCACGATATCTCAGTTCCGAAAATTTTTCCAAATCAATATTATTTGAGCTAAACAAATCCATATAGCAATCCAAACCCACGCTTGCAAGTAAGGCATAAACACTGAGTGTTTCATTTAAATAACTGTTGCAGTAGTTATCCTCGGACGCGTCAAGATTCATTGCGCCCAAAGCGTGTTTCAGCATATCAAGGTCTGCAAGTTGTCGAAACTCCGTCTTATCATCAGGATAACAGTTTTGTTCCGGCGTCTATAAAACAGGTTTGATTAAGATATGTATATTCAATTTTTATATTGCGCTGAAATCGAGAGAGTTAACCTTTACGGCAATATATATGTACATATGTATATCATATTTTTGTTAAAAATATATATGTACATATGTAACTCATATTTTTGTTAAAAATAAATAAATAAATAAAAACATATTTAAAAAAAAACGTAATATAAACTCACATTTGGAACTTTATTAAAAACTGGACAGCTCGACATTGTAATAAAGTAAACTATTCGTAATCCGCAGTAAATTTATCGAACACTTCTTTGAATAAAAGTGACTAGTTGAAAAAATTTGCAAAATAACAGGTAAATCGCGAGAAAAACAAAATGGAAGGGTTGCCAAGATTAAAGTATTACGTATGCATGTGGAATCCAATGAATAGGATCACGCAGCCCAAAACTCATACAGTATTTCACGGCATCCCAATTACGTTATTCGCTCAATCGTAATTAACTCTCCAAGTACGAATTGAGTTACATAATTCATTATAAAAATTTTTGAAAGCGAATTAAATATTATTCTTCAGAAAGCTATATATATATATATATTATTATTATATTTTGTTTAATCATATATTCAAAGCCTACATAATAAAATCTTATTATATAAAGCCTAGATGCACTTATTTAACGAAAATCATTAGAATATTCTAGTCTAGGTTAATTTCAAAAAAACGTATATTAGGCCATAAAATGCCTATATTTACAGCAAGCTATATATAGCTGGAATGTAGCGGACAAAGTGATGTATCGTTTCAAAACTAAGCCATAGTTTTTCAAATATTTTCGTGCGTTGAACACTGTTAGAATCGCATATTTCGAAAATATTGCACAATATAATGCGTCACCACAGAAGCACTATTCTTGTCTGGAAATATATTTCTCACTCTTTAACGCATACACAAGCCGTAAGAAAAACAAAATATTAAAACGAACAAGTTTTACAGCTTAAAATAGTACAACTAGACCCGAGTGGTGTGCAAAAGCAGAAAGTAGTTACCATATAATCATTTTATGAAACAGCTATCATATATTTCTTCAACGAGTTAGGTTTCTGGCACATATGATCGAAGCAATGACTGTATACGCTGTGCTTGAAGAGTGAAAGAATACTGCGTAGTAACTTTATGTAGATTTAGAAGAAGCAAACGGTGCAATTCAACGCCGTGGCCGCCATTTATTGAATTCTCTATGTGAAGTTCAGCCGTGAACAGACGTGAAAAACTTGTACACATTTTCCAAGTGGGAAAATTGTGGTAAATTATTTTAGAAATATTATAAAAAGTTGTGTAAACTTTAGTGTTTAGTGCGCGGTTTACGAAATGACAAAAATAATGTAGAAATACGTGGTTTGAACACGTAATTTCGAGGTTAAAAAATTCTTTCAATGCGGAACTCGCTAATAGTGCCAGTCGCGCTTTATTATACGCCATTGTAAAAAGATATAGTATTGAAGAACAAAGGTATAAAAAAGTGCATAATTCAAATAGTGCATAGCTAATTAAAAAAAAATTGTCAGAAATGTTTAAAGGTTTTGAGAAATATAAAGTAAGGAAAAATATTGGTATAATTTATTGGTTTCATTGCATATAGAAAGGGAAGTAAGAAAGTAAAGTAACTAATGGGAAAACTTAACGAAAATTTGTTTGAACGAATGAAGATGTAGCGAGTAAATCGTGTTGTGTTTTTTTTTTTTTTTTCAACAGAAAGAAGTGCGGAAGTAGAGAGGGTATTTTAGTATTAGGCACAGAGAAATTGCTATCTGTACATTAAATAAATATGTAGTAAATAGGGTAAAACCTTTTCACATTTCTTTCTTAGGGATCATTTAAAAAGTAATGAGGCTTATGATAAATAAAAGTTTTGATATGAATTTTTAATTTCTACATATTCATAGCTTTGTTCCTTTGCGAAAGATTACTTATAGCACATTTCTTACATTTTCTATATTTATAAGTGTCAAAATTAACAACATTCGCCTCCGATTGCGTGTTAAATTGAAAATCCAATTGGTATTCTGATTTGTTCATACGTGCATATCACAACGGATGTACAAGCCTAGCAATGTGTGTACATCCGCATATATACAATTTCTTCGAGAGTGTACGAGACGACTGTATATCGCCAGACATACAAACATATTAAAATATGGAAGTATAAATTCACTGATACAGGGCTCACGCAGAATGCTTTTGAAATGTAAAAATGCAGGTTTGACTCTACCAATGGTATAGGGTGTCATTTAATAAGGAGGTAAAACTTACATATGACAGAAAGAGAAAATTTTCAAAAACCTATTTCATCATTTTGTTCCACTGTTTTGTTGGCTTATTTAGTTAAATTACAATTTATCAACGTGAAATGATTGCGCACACCGCACACTCTCATACTAATGTTGCGCCAACTTCAAATTTTCTCCCTCTACATTCGTGTTTGTATTCGGGGAATCAATTGGAAGCTATATATAGCTGTAAGGGATTCCAGAGTTTTTGGAAATTGTTAATTTCTAAGCCTTTTTCAATAATATTTTTAATTTCTCATATAATTCCAATACATCAAATTAGAAAAGAACATTTTTGAAGTGAGAACGTGTTTAAAAACAGCAAAACTAAATATTATATGGAAAAGATTGTGAATTGAATTAAATACTGTTTTAAAATCGTAAACAATAACAAATTGCAGTATATGATAGTTCCGCAAAGAGATATAGAAAAATGCATACTGAGGTAAGTCTATTTCAATATTTGTTTTAGATTTAGATGCCTTAAAAAATAGTATATTAAAGACGAAATTTCATCGTCTATTAGCTGGTATAGCTATTTTCAAATTCTTTTCCTTATAAGCAAACATTCTGGTGTATCGGAAAAATGTGTGGTATATCATTATTTGGCTTCAATAAATGCAAAAAATATGTACATATTCTCCTGATGCATTCATAAATATCTATACTTAGAGATGTTTGTGTGCATTGCATTTCATCAGCTGGTTAAACCATCAATATTACGTGTGTAATCGGTGAATACTTTCAAAAATTAGGTTTTAGTATGTTTTAATTATATTTCTAATCACTTAGAAAATTTCGCGCTCTTGTCTATAATCGTTGAAAATATTCCAGTATTTTTTTTTCTGATTATGAGGGTAGCCATTTTTAATTTTTATTCGTTTCTATACGTTTCTCCCAATTTTCTTCGTTGTTTCTAGACTTCCCTTTCTGGTAATAATGAAAGAAAAAATGGCGACTGTTTTGTTCCTGTCACACAATTGTTCACGATAATCTATCTCTTTTTTTATACATTTCTTTTGCTCTAAAATATATAATGGTCTCTTTTGTTTTGCGATATTGAAACTAATACAACTAGTATTCCTGAAAAGTATGTGTGCTCTTCTGAAACTAAAATCGTGTGGTGAAGTTGGCTGTGAACGCATATGTCAAAAGTAAATGTTGAAAATTTTTTATAGCAAGATACTGCAAATGAACTACGCAAGCTACCATATTAAGCAAAAGATTTTCCATTTAAAGTTAATTAATGCAATTAAAAGTGTATTGGTTTGTGAAGTTTTTGCTGTGTTGAGGAACAGGTTATATTTGCAATAAAGTAAGTAAATCGAAAAATTTCGCTCTGATTATAGCAGTAATTTCGTTGGCAAATTTAGCTATTTATACTTTAAAAGTTAATTAATTTGAATTGTCGTTTTTTATTTACTTGTCGCAAGCATTAGTGGCAGCTCTTAGGAATTTGGTAAACTGAAAAAAGCATGTATGTGGTGTACGTTTGGGCGAGGGGTATTGTAAAAAAGAAGTCAAAAAATGTGATCGTTTAGCTATTGCAGTAATGTACCATTTGTTCTTTAGTATTTGAAATATTTCAAATTCATTTGTCTATCAGTCATATAATGTGATAAAACATAAAAGAAATTTCTGGTAAACTTTTGACTAAATTTTTTCGAAATCAATTCTGTCATTTAGCATATAGACATGACACCCTTCACCATTAATATACTTCCCACTGTGATCTATTCACTAATTTCTTCACCAACATATTTAATGAAATATAAACACTAATTTGAAAACAGTATAAAAATTTAACAAATCATCAGCTTATTAAACTGGTTACATCATAAAGTTTTTAAAGCTTAGAATGCTGCATAGTTTTTTATTCTACAATTTCCTACGACGTAGAATTGTGTTTTTTCCATAATTCCGCTTTAACTCGCCTACTCGTTTCGTTCGTTAGTTCTTTCGTTGAAACTACTCGTTATTATGCGCCATATTGAAAGCATATTCCCGAAAGCTAAATTAAAGCAGCGGCTATGTGTTCGAAGGAATAGGCAATATATGTGTTGTCCAGTTTTTCTTTTTTGTGTTTTGACTATATTTCCTTTGGGCACATATTCGTTTGCTTAATTTTCGTTTGTTTTGCTTTCATTCGGCGCACATATTTAATTTCGTTGTTATGCTTTACGATTTCTTACTACTTGAAATTGGTTGTGGTTCGTAGAAAAACTGTTGACACTGGTTGTTTCGGTTTTTGATTTTGAAAATTTAGTTGTCCTCGTCTCGCATTAGCTGCATAAATTTATTATGTATTTCTTCGATGCATATTTTTTATTTTTCTATAGTCCCTTTTACATCGTTCTTGATGGGTTAATGAAAGCAAAAGTTGAAAAACGGGTTTTGAATGCTATGGATGTAGAATATCCGCAAAGAATAAGTAAATATTGCAAATTTTCTCAAAATTTTGCACGCGCCATTAATAATTGAAATAATAAATAAAACGAAAATATTTACAGTGCAAAAAGTGCTACGAATGCTTAAAGAGAAATGTATATAGAGTGTGCAGTGAAAACTTGACTAATTTTATACATTTATGTATATACATGTGTGTATAAGGTGGTATATCATAGATGTTTATGTACCTAAATAAGTACATAGTATACATATAATATACTTATTCTTTTTTTTTTTGTATAAAATTGCGATAGTTTACTAATTCACAACGCGATTTCAATGACGAATAAAACATGTCCACAAGATCTACGGTAATGTTATTTTTTGGCTCACAAAAGTTGACAATAGTGTAAACGTGGCATTATGATTAAATATTTTTCAATATATGTTTCTACATGTTAATAAAATAACAATTTGCATAAAGGTACGAAATCAAAGTCTAACAAATTTAAACATAATTTAAAGCTTATAAAAATAAAATGAAAATGTATTAAAATAAACCCTTTTTTCCTCAACATACTATTAAGGTGAATAAGTGGTGCATTTGTTGGTGTGCGATTACAATTAATATTCTACAGCAGTGGTAACATCACACTTAATACATTTGGGTTGAGCTTTATTGTGTCACCCCACTTCCTGTCTAATGGTTGTACCTACCTCCATACCTACATAGGTTACTTGTTCGCTGTACAATAATTGAGACGCAATTTAAACTAAAAATTTCAAACTTATTTCTTTGCTGTATAGCTCTGGCAGCTGTTCTGTTGTGAAAAAGCTCACTATTCGCTATGATTGTGGCGGAGAACAGCGATCGACGTTCATGTGTATAATGTGAGGAGTCTGCCTTTTTTTTTTTTACTAAAAGCGATGTGTATGTGTATACATATAAATACATATCTACAATCATATGTATGTATGAGCTTTCAGCACCCTTTTTTTGTATTACAATTGTACCCATGTACATACATCACAAATTTATATCGACCCTCTAGATGTGTGTGCACACATTCATATGTATGTACATATGTAAATATGTATATCTACATATTGTGAGCCTCATCTAGCCAACGTTGTTTTGCTCACTATGAATGCCTGGCGCGACAAGTACACAATTAGTTAATTAAAATGAGAATATAAACAATGTAGGCATGGATGTACTTATGAATAGTCATATAGAATTTTGAAGCAAGGCTGCTCACTGTTTATTGTTCATATACCATTTTATTAAGTAGTTTTATGGGTTTATATAGCATTAGCTAATTTGCGTATAAGTACAAATGAATAAATATTTATATTTGTATACAAAATACAAGTATGTACGCAGTTTATTTTTCAGCTGTACATTTCAAATATTTTGGTTCATAAATATACTTAAATGTATATTAGTTAATATTTATTATACTATATATGAACTGGGTTTGTTTGTTGCGCTCTGAGCTCCACACAAGCAACGTTTAGATAGCTTGAACAAGTTTTCATACATATAAGCGTTAATTTGTTTATAAATCGTTAGCAGAAAATCCATAACGAAAACGATTTTCATTCATAATATATATGTATACCTACTTAAAAAGACTCTGAGAAAACACAAAAGCTACCTTTGTTTTTGAGATGCTTTTAAAAAAGATGTAACACAATGTTTTTCTTGTTATACTTCATTTAAATGTGTAGATACAGATGTATGCATGTACATACTACAAAGTACATATACAAATTAGATGCAGCTATGCTTGAAGTACAGTAAAAATTGCTAGAGAGAAGTGTGTGGGGTTATTCAGGTTGTAGGTAGCAGTTCAAGGTGAGGCGGAGACCTTGTTGGTATATGTATACATACTGAATACAAACTGATTATATTTCAAGCTTAAACCATATTTGAAAACGGCAATATATATATTTTGTAGCAAAATAACCCGAATGTGAAGAAATCATAACATAACCTCTCTTTGAATGAAATTCATAATAATTACATTAGTTTAAATGTAGAAAATATATTATGCATTCAAATTCATGTTCATATATTTATAATATATCAATTCTCTTAAACTCATCTAAACGCAGTTGGCGGCAGCTAGCAATACAATTTTCACTATGTGTTAGCATGATGTTAGCCTGTCCAATTGATATTTTTAGGCATTCAATTCGTTGTCATAGCGCTTTTTGTGATTCTTATTTTATATATAGATGTGCAACAAGAATGTTTAAAAATACATTTTTATTGCTGCACAACAATTTTCTCGACTTTCGCAAGAAATCATTATACCCCAATAGTAGCCTAAGTACATATACATTTGATACAACGATTATCGATAAATAAACGTCAAATTGACTAAATATCGTCGTTGCTGTACTGATGGGGGAAACTAACGAGCCGCATACACCATTGACGTGTAAAATAAGTATGTACGAATATATCGTAAATGCAATATAGCAAAAAATAGTGGCTTTCATTATATAGAATCGATTCTGTGTGCGGATTTTTAGTATGCAAAACAAACATTAGAAACAAGTCAAAGAAGAATGAGAAGGATTGGAGCATGGCATAAGAAAAATTTCTGCATTTAACCCTAATAAGTATATGTATATGTAAGTATGCGTGTACAAGTATGGTTTTTTCGCTAGTTTTTAGTCGCCACATTGGGAGCGCGGTATGGGTGTTGAGGGAGTGGGCCAAGAAGAGGTGAACGAACACAACACTGCAACGTTGGATCGAAATGAGAAAACGACTACAACTACAACTATTACGACGAAGACGACGACGACGTCGATTGACGACGTGCAATTGCAATGGCAGCCAATATATGCTATGTAAACAAAGCAAGACTAACTAAAGTATTGTTGGCAAGTGCAGTAAACTGACTACTGAATCCGTGACTGGGCAAGCAAGCGAGTTTGTTGTTGAAGGCTTGCGAAAAAAGTTGATTTTGTATATACCTTTTTCTCTTGATTTCTGTTGCTGCTGCTAGAAACATTATTTTTCATTCTAATTTTTTCCAAGTAGAAAATTTTTAATGTATGTTTGTTTCTAAATAACGTACAAAACGAGAGTTTGCCCAAATATCTCATTTTTTTATTTTATTATTATTTTTTTGTATTTAATGTTATGGAGGGGGCAAGTAAATTTTTACAATTATTTATGGATCAAGTTTTATAAACGCCTAAAGATTTTGCGAAGTTACTGTAACATTTTTGGGTACCAAACTTCAAAGGTTTTTTAATTCAAATTTAGTACAAATATTTCAAAATAAATTGTTTATTTACTAATTACACGTTTTCTTTGTTTGTTTTCATTACGAGGTGTGTAGTAGATAACTTAACACCATTTTGATTACGAATGCCATGTAAGTGGCAATCCATTATTATCAATTATCAGTTTTAGTTTACATTCTCCAATACAAAAATATGTACAAACATACATTTGATAATTTGAAAATGTTCTTGGCAATATTTTTAACATCTGGCAATCATTGCTTTTCATAAATAAAATTTTTTCTATTACTGGAGCATGCGCCAATAAGAAACGTCAGTCACCCACCCATAAAAAATACATACATTTATTATTGTAACTCATAGCTACATACATATATGCAAAAATTTGTCTTCTTAATCACGTACGAAAAAATAGGTGTGTTTCATCATCTGACTACAAAAGAAAAACAAAAATCAGTGCAACTTTATGTATGTATATGTGTTGATGTGCCTACATTTTTGCTTTGATGCTACATGCATACACAAAATACGTATAACATTTTCACTACTCTATAATTTTGTCTGCTAATTTCTTTGCCTATTTATTGCTTAATTTGACATTTTGACCGATATACAAAAATAATAATACTTACTACAATTGTGCCCTTGCAGTGTATCGACTAATATTAATTCGCCCATCCCTTTAACAACTGTACCCACAACATCGCCACATTTTCCCCGTCTCTTTTTTGTCTATATGTGCACGTAGTATACGTCTTTCTAAATCACTTCTCTATTTGCTTTTTCTTGTGTCAGTAGTATATGGTGCAACTTATTACTTGTCGATCTGTCTGATGGTGTTACGTAACGGGTGCACAAGTTGTATGTACTATGTATGCGAGTTTGCTTTTAATTATTGTTATTTTTTTTTTGTAGAAAAATACCGTTGACGTTTGTGACATTTCGGTACACAAAATCTTAACATTATTTATTGCAATTAAATTGAACAAATGCTTATATAAAGTAAAGCTTAGTATACTTATAAATCCTTTCGCAATTTCCCCATTTTATGCATTATAATTTGGTATTTTATTATGCAGGATTTCTTTTCATTTTATACTCTCGTTTAAATGTATGTATTATGTTTTGCAATTCTTTCAAACATATTTTCCACACATCTTTCTTACCAACTGCAGTGCACACTAGCTGCCTCATTCTTAACAATACGTTTACTAGCCTGCAATGTCGACGCATGTAATCTTGATAGAATCAATAAATTTGTGTGTATTTTGTTTTGCTTGCTTAATTCTCTGCTGCCACAATTTCTTTTTACACAAATATTCGTGGTAATTTGCTTCTATGTTTTCCTCACTTTCTTGACACTTGGCACTTTGTACGCATTATTATTGTCATTCCTTTTGACCAACTTTATTTTACTGTTTTTTTTTCTCACAGCCAGTATTCGTTGCTTTCGTGCATGTATACATTATAGCTGTATTAATGTATTCTTTATTGCTTATTTTGTACTTCGCTTCCTTTCCCTTTTTCTTTACTTACATATCTGTCAGGTTTTCAGCCAATTATTTTCGTTTTAGCCACATTCCTTAGCGTAGTTTTGATTTTTCTCTGTTTCGTGCTGATGAAGAACTAGTTAGACCATTTCTACTACAGAAAATTATTAATAATATAAATTTTTATTAAATACAATCTACTTTTCAAAAGCTACATATTTATTCTACTAAATGATATATATTACTCGACGTTTAACATGTCGATTAAATAAGCATACAAATTTTCTTTGATGTGAAGAATACATTAGCTGGAATGTTATCTGAATTTAATAACTTATGCGATAAAAGTTTTTCCACCCACGTCAGAGTTTCATTTTTAAATTAAAGTTGTGCAAAATAATTTGTTTCATATTGTTTGGTGTTATAGTGAGATTTATTTTTTAAGTTTTCTTAAGCAGTGTCACCCTGTGCGCAATATTTTTTTTATCGATGATTTTTCACACTGCAATTACTCTAACTGAAACCGTATATTATATGTAATTTTTTGCTACGAATTGTGAAACAAATAAATTAAATCTCGTTTTTTTTTCTCTATTTACAGTTAATCTGCAACGCAAATATAATACAACGAGAAAAGGCGAAATTATTCCTTAAACGTTATAAGAAGTGAACTATCTTACTATTATATTAGCAGATAATTTTAGTGAACTGCAAAGTTTAGGTCAGACAATACCGACAGTGGAATCGCCAAAAATTAAACGTCGCTTCAACCGCAAACCCAGGAAGCGTAAACGGAATCGGCATTGCAAAAGCAATCACAAACACAACATTAAAAACGCAGGTTACGTTCGCAAGGATTTTGTTGTGTGACATTTTCGTTTCCATCTTCAAACTCTACTAAGTATAACAAAGCTGTTATATTTGATCTGGTAGCAGCAATAAAATAAAACCAAAACCTCTTTGAAGTGTCTAAAGCAGTGAACGCTAGCAAGAAAAGGCAAATATATTCGTACACACTGTTTGGAAAGAAAGTAATCTGCAGTTTAGTGATGTACCCTGATGTAATGGCTTACAATGTAATGGTCAGAAAAATTAGAAATTCCCGTGATTACGACAACGCCACAAATGTTTATCTAAACGCACTACAATTATCAGCAGCAAAAGTAATTTTACACACTTGCTGTAAAGCTTATCAGTCAATTACAATTTCCAACTGTCACTACAAAGACTTCTATATAATTAGCAAATATTTAACATTTTGTTGCGCTCCAAGCCCCTATGTGGGTGGGGGACCGCCTTCAAAATCACCAGCAGCGAAAGAATTAGCAGCTGGCTTAAATGACGATAATAGTTAAGTGAGAAAATTGAGCAAACGTAAAAGTCAAAATTTGAATATATGCACAGTAGCATTGCCGTTAATGTTGCAAAACGATACAAAGGTGTATTTACTAAACAAAAACAAAAAACTAATTTATATAATTTGCCTTGTGTTGCTTATATCGCATTCTGTTTTTGATATACTTTAAAAGTTTTATACAAATTCATGTGGCAAGCTCTGATGTACACACTTGCATTCAAAAATATTATAAAATAAAATTAGACCAGAAGTAATTGTTTTCTAAATATTGCCCAGCGAATGATGCCATTGCAATCGTCTGGTATAATTGTCGTAGAGAAGCCAAAAACAGCAAACCCAACTCAATCGGTAGGTAGTACAGGAGCAGCAAATAACAAAGCTACACAGCCGCAACACCAACAAGCGCAGAAAAAAATTTATCACACCAAGGCGCCTACAATTAAGCCAACAACACCAGTCGGCAAAAAACATTTCGAATATTATGGTGCGAATGATGTGCGACAACATCAGCACAAACAGCAACAATTACAAAACCAACAACAACATAATGTTACTAGCAACAACAGTAGCAATAGTAGCAATAGTAGGAGTCAAACTCAGTTACCACTAATGCGACGTGCAACGCAGCGCAATAGTAGCAACAACAACAGCAATCCTATAATAAATAAGTGTAACAACAGCAATACCATAACAACGGGAGGAGCAACGAATACCAAAATTCATAATATTAATGTGAAACAGCATCAGCAAGCATTACAGATGAATCAACAACAACACCAATTATTACAGCATAACACTATTCATCAGCAACAGCAACAACAACAACAACAACAACATCAGCCACAAATCCACCAGCAACAGTCACAACAACTGGCCACACAGCTACAGACCGGTCAGTCTAAGCAGCAGCAACATGTGCAAAAGCAGCATCTGCTGTCACAACAAATGCACACAACACAACAACAGCAGCAGCAGCAGCAACAAAATCAACAACAACATACACAGCCACAGCAGCAGGTGATACAAGTAAGCGAGGAATTTATTGAATCTTCCGGTGCCACCAACATGATGATATCCACGACAACCGGTGAGGTGCTAAATCCACAAATCTTCAAAATAGTTGCCACCGATGGGACCACCGGTAATATGATTATCGATAGTGGTAGCGCGGCTGCCGTTAGTGGCCAATCGAAAGTTTTGCTTAGCAATTTGACGGTATTGGCAAAGTCTACACCCACAACGCCAAATACGTCCAACACAACTGCAATAGCGGTGGGTGCTGGCGGCAGTTTAGCCGGACAACAGCAGCAACAGCAGCAGCATACCATCAGCGTCGGCAGCGGCGGTGGTCAATCACAGCAGCCTCAAACAATAAATTATATGAGTGCTAAGAATTTATCTTATTTAACCACAGCAGCAGCTGCTGCCACACCTATTTCGGCCGGTGTTGGGAAAACGCAAAAATTCACTGTAACGGGTACATACAAAGCAGGCGTCAAACAGCAACATCAACAGCTCAATACGACAACATACATACAGCAATCCCAGCAGCAGCAACAGCAGACGAATCAAGCAACAACGCATGGTACACAGCAGCAGAATCAGCAATTGTATCAAAAGCTCTCGGTGCCGCGTCAGGTGCAGATGGTGACGCGCGTTGTGCAACAGCCAACGGCGGCTGGTACGTCGTTATCAACAAACACAGGGCAGCAACAACAGCAACAGCATGCGCAAATGCTAGCGCAACCAGTTGTTGGTGGGCAAAAGTATTTGAGTAGCAGCGCCACAACGAAGAGTGTCAGCATCACTGGCAGCAGCGGTGGCAATATGTTGAAAAAGGCAAATAGTTTAAAAATTACCCATGGCAATAGCAAAGTTGTGAACAACATGCAAATTCAGCAACAACAACAGGGTGTTAAGACAACATATATAACACAACAACAGCAGCAGCAATACCAAATGCATCAGCCGCAATTTCAGAGTGCCACCGCCAGTGGTAAAGTAAAAACGTCAAAATTGTTAAAACAATACAACAATGTCGTTAATAACAACAGCAGCGGCGTAAATATGTTGCAGCAGCAGCAGCAAATGGGTGGTACTTTTTCCATTGGCAACAGCGGTGGAAGTCATAAAGTGCAGCAGACGACCAAAGTGACCAAAATGACCACCGGAAAGTATGCCACACACCAACAGTTGCAGCATGTCGCCACCCTGCCACAAGGTACGCAATTGCATCACAAAACATTGCCACAACAACAACAATTCTCGACTAACAACAATGTTGTACAAATTGCCGCTGGCGGTGCTGCCATTAATAGCAGCAACAATGCTGGTGGCAATACAATAAAATTTGTGAACTCGTCGCATGCCACTGTCATACAGCAACATCAGACTACTTTGCCAATGCAGCAACAACAACAACAACAAGCGAAGGTAACGCTGCGGCAGCAACAGCAACAGCAACAAATACAACTTGTTGAAGGCCAAACAACAGCAAACATAATTAATCAGCAGCAACAGTCGATGCAAACTGGCAATAATAGCAACAGCAGCAGCACACAGTCCTTGCTAAATGATGACATAATGATTGTCAATGGCACACAAATGACGGACGAGCTGTCAGCGCGCATATTGCAGAGTATGGCACAGAAATCCTTCGGTAATCAGCAGCGCTACCAACAGCAGCAGCAACCGAAATCTACTGCCATGCCACCACCCAACACACAACAAACGCAGCAACAACAGCAGCAGCAACAGCAGATTGTCTTGCAGCAACATGCTTCACCAACATCAGTACTGCTTTCGCCCAAAGAATATCCACTATATAGTGCAACTCAATTGCCAACGCAACAGCAATTGTCAGCGCCAACAAGTATAACCACACAATACACCAATGCGGTGCATCAAACACCCGTCTCCGCATCAGCTTACTTGCCAGTCTCTGTTGCCAGCAGTGTGAGCGGCGGCACTGTTTATGGGCCACCAACGCCGACGACAGGACGTCAAACACACAGCGCGCCCAGCAGTCGCGCACACTCATTGGAGCGGAATAAGTCATATGAGGCCAGTACAACAATTACACGTAAATCCGTTGGTGAATACTACAAAACGAATAGCAGCGGCGTTGGAAGTGCTGCACGTGGGGGTCATCATCACGGCTCGCATACATCGCTTGCTGCCAGCTCAATGCACTCTGCAAGCACATCGAATATACCACATGATACGCAGCAGCAGCAGCAACACTCTTCGGCGCAGATAATACATTTACAGACATTGAAATCATCACTAGCGGCCTCCACGGCAGCAGTAGCAGCAAGCAATAGTAGCTATACAATCGCTACAACAAGTAATGCAGCAACGGCAGGAGTGGCCGCCAACAACACAGCGTCTTCAGGTGCAGCAGCAACAGCAGATGATGACGATATTATTGGCGAAGAGGTGCGACCGCCGCCATTGAATACGCTAGATTTACGTCTGCGCATTTTGTATGCTGTACAACTGGATCACACATATGCCAATCCCATGCCAACGCATCCCACCGGTACCGAAGCCAGCACAAAGAGTGCAGGTGCTGTGCAAATGGGAAAAACGGGGTCGGCGAATAGTACAAACGTACCGTCGCATTTGCAAACGGCTTTGTCGGGCGGTAATCAGCAGCAATGGTCTTTGGGTGGCATTGGTGCGACTGTGGCCGGTGGACAAGCAGGTGCGGGTAGCATACTACCCATGACACCGACCAGCGGACAATCGTCATACACTCTGCATGGGCAACAAAGTGAGTAAAAGAAATTCCATTTCGAAAGTTAATGTTTAAATTTAGTATGAAAAAACTTTCAAAATTTTTCAAATAATATTTTAAAATAATAATAAATTTTACATAAATTCTCTTATTCTACAGTCACTCGCATGCAACAGGATGATGATGCTCATTCCGCTATAAGTAACGGTTCACGTGTTGCAACCGGCGATATTGATCCCGGTGAAGAGACGGAAACTGCACCCGAAGCCGAGGCTGAAGATGACTCGGTGACGCGTTGTATCTGTGATTTAACGCACGATGATGGCTATATGATATGTTGTGACAAGTGCTCGTAAGTACTGGAAATGAAAAACATTAATAATTTAAAATATTTAATTTTCAAAATTCATGCCTGTTTCTTTTACTACAAAATTAAAAACTAAATTTTCGTTCAATAAATGTAAAAATATAAACTATATAAAAAATATAATATATATAAAAAAAATTAGAATATATCTATAACAAAATTAAAAATATAAAATATATATAATAAGTAAAAAAATTTAATTTATATAAATAAAAAAATATAAAATATGTAAAAAAAAAACTTTTGTATATAAAAATGTAAAGTATATATAAAAATATGAAATATATAAAAAAATAAGAAATATATAAAAAATATAAAAATAAATAATAAAATATTAAAATAACAAAAAAATATGAAATAAATAATAAAATATAAAATATTTAAAAAAAAATATAAAATAAATAAAAAATTACAAAATAAATAAAAAAATTATAAAATAAATAGAAATTTATAAAATAAATAAAAAAATTATAAAATAAATAAAAAAAATTATAAAATAAGTAAAAAATCATAAAATAAATATAAATTAAATAAAATAAAATAAAAAAAATAAATATATACATATGTATATAATTTAAAAAATACATAAATTGAATAAAAAATATTAAATAAATAATAAAATATAAAGAAATAAAGTAATACAAAAAAAAAAATTAAGAAATATAAAAAAACAAAGATATATAAAAAATAAAGAAATATAAAAAAACAAAGATATATAAAAAACAAAGAAATAAAATAAATAAAGAAAAGGAAAAAGATAAAGAAATATAAAAAAATTAAAAATTTGTAAAATAAATAAAAAAATTAGAAAAATTAAGATAAAAAAAAGATAAAAAAATGCAAATTGAAAAAAATGAATATATAAAAAAATTAAATTAAAAAAATAAATAAAATTAAATTAAATAAATAAAAAAATTAAATTAAATAAATAAAAAAATTAAATTAAATAAATAAAAAAATTAAATTAAATAAATAAAAAAAAATTAAGTTAAATAAATAAAAAAATTAAATTAAAAAAATAATAAAATTAAATTAAATAATTAAAAAAAATTAAATTAAATAATTAAAAAAAATTAAATAAATAAAAAAATTAAATAAATAAAAAAAATTAAATAAATAAAAATGTAAATAAAAAAATTAAAAATAAATAAAAAAAATTAAAAATAAATAAAATATAAAATATAAAATAATTGCAAAATACAAAAAAAAAAAAAATATTAAATCAAAAAATTTTTTAATCCAAAAAAATAAAATTTTCAAAAAATATAAAATACACTAAAAATACAATACAAAAAAAAAATATTAAATACAACAACATATAAAATGTGAAATATAACAAAAAATATAAAATACAATAATAAAAAAAAAATATTTAAGATAAAATAATAAAAAGAAATATATTGTATATCATACAAAATGCGAAATAAATAAGAAAATATAATGCAACATATGATATATAATATATAATATATAATATAATATATAATAAATAATATATAATATATAATATATAATATAGAANATATAATATAATATATATAATGTAATATATAATATATAATATATATAATGTAATATATAATATATAATATATAATATATAATATATAATATATAATATATAATATATAATATATAATATATAATAAAATATGTAATATATATTAAGTGTTTCAAACTTTATTTATATGTATTTTTGTTTCTATTTAATTTAAATTTTCGCTTTATAAAATAATTTGATTTTGAAAATCAGTACTTTTCTAAAAAATCCATTGTTAAAAATGTCACCTTTTGCAGTGTTTGGCAACATGTCGATTGCATGGGCATCGATCGCCAGAATATACCCGACGAGTACCAGTGTGAAGTCTGCCAACCACGGGCGGTAGACAAGGCTCGAGCACGTTCGCTGCAGCTAATGAAACGTAAAGAACAAACTCAGTTACTACTCTCAGCGCAATCGGCGCATGCAACCGGCTCAAGTGGTGCTTATATGAGTGGCGCCGGGGTAGCCAATTTGAGTAGTAATTATCAGTTAACCGAAGGCCAACGACAGCAAGGCGGTATTAACACCAACTCATTCCCAATGAGTGATGGCACAATGCATGGTCTGCCTAACAATGCGGCACTCGCCACCACAAAGAAGGGCAAGGTGTTGAAGAAAACCGCTAAAGATACCGCCAGCGGCAAGAAATCCAAGAAAGCAGATAAACTAGGCGCGGGTGGCATTGGTGGCAAACCACCACGTAAAGAGTCTGGTGCCTCCAAGAAGACAACGAAACGCAAGACAAAGAGTGGTGATGGACTGAGCGCAAGCGCATCTGCAGCGGAAAAGCATGCCGCGAACTTGCGTCAATGGATCGAGAACTACGAATTGGCCGTAACGAATCATTATTCGCCCGAATTGCGTGCGCGTCTACACGCCATTACAAAGCAACCGAGTTTACTGCAAAGCATTCTCAATACCGAAAATCGTGCATTGAAGGAGTGTTGCAATAATGGTCTGGAGAGTCGCGCCACAACAGTGCCACATGCAGGCGGTAAAATACTTATTAGTAATATGGATATTGGGCCGAGTTGTCCGATCTTCGAGTTGCGCGGCAAGTATATGCTTAGTCCACAGTATAAAACACAGAATGCATCAGTGAATATGAATTCGCCGCCACCAACTAATTATCTCGCCGCAACGTTGAAGGCGCATAAAACGCCAGGTCCTTTCATATTCTTCTATCAGCTACCCGATGCAGAGGCGCCCATGCAGACAATGAATCAAGATGGCTCTTATCCTCCGCTGCCGCCACAACCCGCTTATCTGAAGGGTCCTGAGATATGCGTGGACACACGTACCTATGGCAATGAAGCGCGTTTTGTACGGCGCTCTTGTCGACCAAATGCGGAAATACAGCATCTTTTCGAGAAGGGCACGATACACCTGTTCATTGTGGCCACGACGCGTATACGAGCTAGTACAGAAATTACCATCAAACACGAACCCCACGATTTGCTCGCGATTGAAAATAAGAAGGCAACCGCTAGTAATTGTATTGTGCAGCCAACCAGCACAGCATGCGCTTGTGGCCTGCTTAAGGATTGCCTTTTTGGACCACCACCGACGCAGCAGTCTTTGAGCGCTGCTGGCGGCACGAAATCGCGAAAGTCATCGCTCTCTACCACATTAAATGGTGGCGTGCAGCTCAGTAGCAGCGCTGCTGCCATGCAACTCACCATGGGTGGTTTGCCGACGGGTGCGGGTAAAAAGAAGGGACCAGCGCAGAATATTAATCGCAATCGTTCGACGTCATCAAGCGGTGATAGCAGTATTGGAGCTATAGCTGCCGCTGCGACGGCGGGCATGAATAGCCCAAATGTTGCCTTGCCGTCAGCGGCTATGAATATGAGTGCCTCCGCCACCTCCAACTCCAACGTATGTAGCAACACATATAAAAGTAATGGTGGTCTTAATATTCTGTCCGCGCATGCGTTGGTCACCTCAGCTTCGGCGCCCAGCACCAATGGCGGTAATATGAGTGCAACCTCCTCCATTTCGAGTGTTATGCACGACTCGGGCATTTGTACTTCATCCTCGTCGCCATCCGTTTCCATACCGTCGCCAACCACGACGCTGCATTTACACTCGCCGACACAGCAGCCGACGCAACAACAAACGCAGCAGCAGCAGCAGCAACAACAACAACAAACAGTGCCAGCATCAACAACAAATGTACAGCCGCGTGGCGCCAATAGCGGTAACGCTCTAATCACGCCGCATAGTCCACAGCAACAACAACAGCATCAACAGATATTGGGCGCTTTGCCAACGCCATTACTCCTGTCGCCACCACCGCAAATGACACAAACGCAATTGCAGGTACAACAACAACAACATATTACAGTTAATAACTCACATACACCTTTGCTGCAAGAGGTGGTGAGTAACGTAGATCCAAAGCCTGCTTTATTGACCCAATCGCTCAGTCAAGCTCCGCAACAGCCCCAAGAGCAACCAGTTCTAGCGCAAATGAGTCATAGGGAGTTAATTCGCGGGCCCACAATAAGTGATGCCTCTCTGGCGGCTGCAGCAGCTTTGCAGTCGCTCAACACTGCGGTTACGCTGACGAGTAGCAATGCACCGGTAGTGGCACCGAATGCGGCCCCGAGCAATACCAACAATAATATTGTCATTATCACACCAGAAGCTGCTGCTATGAGACCAGCCATAAGCACAGTTGACACTAGTAATGCTGAACAACAACAGCAGCATCAGCAGCAGCCACAACAACCACAACACCAACACCAAAGTGAGTATGTACAACAACAACAAACGCAATTATTAGTTGCGCCAAAGATGCAGTCCACACATCCTGACATAGAAGACGGCAATATGCCAGATTCTCAACAACAACAACAACTGCAATTACCGCAGATACCAGCAGGTACGGTCGAACTGCCACCACCCATACATACACATACACCAGCTTCCGCTCCCACACTATCACCCAATGCCGGTTCGAAATCGCCGCAGAAACATAGCGGTCCCGCAAGCATCAATACGTTTGCGCCAACGAATAGCAGCGCACGGAGTCACAAAACATCTACTAGTAAAACGCCAAGTTCCCGTTCTACCAGCTTTTCCGAAGATGACCATCAGCAGCAGCATAATGTGAGCAGCGGCAGCGTCAATGATGATGTTACGGCAACAGCCAAATCAAGTTCAAAGGAGAAACCGAAACTCTCACGCGAAGATCGAAAAATGGAGGCGATATTGCGAGCGATTGAGAAGATGGAGCGCAATCAGCAGCGCAAAAGTCAACAAAACAAAGCTGGTGGCGGCGGCAGTGCATCATCTAGCGCCGCCAAGCGTCGCAATAGCAATAGCAATTCGCCAAGCACACCTTGCAAACGCAGTATAAGCGAGTTGAGCACCAGCGCCAGCAGCGGACGCGTCTCGTCGGTGAATGCGCGCAAGAAGAAACGCAAGACACACAAATCATATAGCGGACACAGCGCGCAGGCGCGTAAGCGACGTAAGAGTCGAGTTAATAGCGGCAACGAATCGGCAGATGGCGCTGGTCACAGTGGCGGCTTAGGTGGCGATATAGGCGTAACAAACGTCTTCGATGGCAATGGTTGTGGCATGACTGATGGCAATATGCAGTCAGAAGCCGAGTCCGCATCATTACTTTCGCCCGCGGTGTCTCTTACGACTACTGCACCCAACTATCAAATGTCTGGCGCTAGTGAGCAGCATAACGAAGTAGCTGTGGATGCAACGGCGCCACCACCAACCAATGAGGATCAGGCAGCTGGTCTATTGCTCGCATTCGCGAATCCCAATCTGAAAATGTCACCGACGTCGCATCTGACCACACATGTGCTTTCACCAACGGCGCAACAGCAACAACAGTACGCCACACAATATGGACTTGAGCAATTAAAATCGCCGCAGCATAGAACACCTGTAGGAGGCAGTGGTAATGCCACCTCCCCACCGGCTACACCCGTCAGTTCCGCTTGTTTGTTAATCGAAGCGGCTGTGGGACCATTACAAGAACACATGGATGGCAGCAGTCCAAGTAGTGAATTCAAATATCCCAATAAGACCAAGACGAAGAAGGTACTCATGTCAAATTGGCTACTGAATCAAGTAGACGCCGATACCAGTGGAAGTGATTCGCCACCGCCAAATGCTCCTACACCGCCACCCACCAATAGCGGTGTGGAGCAAGCGGTAGCCACAATCACTGCTGCATTGCCAGCACCACTAATACCAACGGCGGCCACTCTGAGCTTGGACTCGTTAGTACAAGCGGCCACAATGTGTGACTTTGCAAATAAACAACAATCCGAGGCAAATGTGGTCCACCCCACCCACTATGTAGCACCCAATATGGAAATGTGTTCGGCACCAATGCCGGTAGACGATGAACCACAAAATTTAAGTATGGCGGCGCAGAAAGTGGAAGAATTCATACAACAAACTGAACGTGGTACCAGCGTCCCGTACACTACTCAGCCAAATCTGACTGGCGTCAGTAGCTCTCAACGCCATCTTCTACATTTGCCCTTACAGGTTAGCACCTGCAGCAACAATTCTTCGGTGAAAAAGCGTTGGCTGCGTCAAGCGATTAGCGAAGAGACTACTACTGACGAGTCGATGACGCCGACACCCACTGCAGCGGCCGCCGGTCTGCAAACAGCGTCGCCCACAACAGCGACCGCGCATTTGAATGCTGTATTGAATGTGCCCAATGGCTTCACGACACCGTTGAAGAAACGACGCCTCATTATCAGTGGTGGCGTGAAGGAGGAAGAGGACATTGGCGGCAATACTGCACCATCACCTGCAGTCGTTGACGGTGGCAACTTTTTCGAATCACCTGCAGTCAAAGCGGAACCAACAGCGATGCTGGCGACACCAAAAGACGAACACGATATGACGACCGTAAAGGTTTTGACGACAGCGGCAGGTAACAATGCGGTAGATGTAATGAATGTGCAGGAAATCAGCAGAACTTTGAAGAATGAAGTTGAGACGAGCATTGAAGAGGAAACTGATGAAGAGGATTATGACGAGGAGGAAGAGCGTGATGATGTAGATGTGGTTGGAGACGTAGGCGTTAGTGAACTGCGAACAAGTACATCCACAACAGCGGCGCATACGGTGAGTGAGAGTATGAAGCGAGAGGTTGTGAAAAAAGAAGATTCGCTGAGGGGCGATGCAGAGCCGATTGAGTATAAAGGTGAGGACTTGAAAGCCGAACCTATGTCAATCGATCAAGATGACGATGTAGATATATTACGTTCACCGAGTCCAGGGCATCAGCAAATGTTAGCCGCTGAAGATAATCTGGTGAAAATTGAGCCGGAGGATACAAGTGGCGGTGATGTGAAAATCGATGTCGAACGTGAGGAGAGTTTGGCAGGTGATAGGTTTGAAGAAATGGTGTTGATGCACGTGAAGAAGGAAGAGGCGTTAGTGGAAGGAGCTCAGCAGTTGTCAGCGGTTGTCGCTGCGGAGGAGACAAAACCGTCTTTACAGGAGGATGAGAAGAATATTAAGTCTTCTTTGCCTGAACCAAATGACAATGCAATGGATCAAAAGCCATATGAGCAGTTGCCTAGTATGTTTGAGGAGAACGAAAAACACAAGAAGGAAGAGTCCGAAGTGCCGAACTTTGAAAATATAACGAAAACGGAGCCCCACAATGCCATGGATGTAGAGACTTCTTCTGCGCATCTAAGTAGCGCTGTAGCTAATAGCGATGATGAGTCTATGATGACAATACCGCCCAAGCCATCACCGCTTAAGTTGCTTACACTCGATGGCAGCAGGAGCACCTGCATTCCTACGTCTGATGAGCCGCTCAAAAAGCGTCCAAAACTTGATAGTTCTTTAGCAGCTACCACATCATCGCAATCAGAAGTGCCGCAAACTCAAACCTCTTTGCTGAAACCGCTGTCCGCGCGCATGCTTGATATGGCAAAACCAAGTGTGGTCAACAGTGCGAGCGGGGGAAACAATAATAACAGCAAAAATGAGATTGCGTCAACACAGGCAAACACTCTGCCCACCAAATCGTTGCTCAAGTCAGCTGCAGCGAAAAAACCCACCGTCCAACATTCGGTCGTCGCATCTCCACCGTCGAATTGTATGACATTCTTGGCGGCCGCAGCTGCTGCAGCTATTGAACGCAAACCGCCACCGCCGCCGCCGCCACCACCCGCTTCAGTTGCAACAATATCACCGACTAAATCAGACGTACCGGCTTCAACTACAGCAACAACACCGGTCGTTGAGGGCATCAACAACAACAACAACAACAACAACACTCCTGCAGCGCCATTTGTTCCCAACACGACTGCTTTGGAAGCGACTACCAACGCCGGTGTTGGTTCAACAGCTCTTGCGCCACGTAAACAGAATGCCACCACTAATAACAATAACAGCAACGAACGTAAAATACCGTTAACCGATGATGATATTCAAGCACGCTTGCATTCCTTCCACAAGGAGAATATATTGATCTTACAGTCGCGCAACAACAAAAAGTCAAAAACAAATGCCACAGCAGCAACAACAACGGTCGGTGCTGGTAGTGCCAATGAATTGGTGAAAAATGTCAAGTTGAGTGAAAACAAGTCTTCACACCACAGTCACCACCATTCACACGACGCGGTGAAGAGTAGTAGCGGTAGCAAACACAACAGTACATCAAAGTCCCTGTCCAACTCCAGCAGCGGTTCTTCCGGAAAGAAGCTACACAAAAAGGATCGTAGCGGTAAAGAGCATAGCAGTAGCAGCAGTCGGTCGTCTTCTTCGCACAGCGGAAAACTGAGTGCCTCCAGCTCGAGCTCGAGAAAATCATCTTCATCCCATAAAAAAGACCATGCTAGCGGCAAGACGAGCAGCGGCAACACCACACCTGTGCTCACCACCAAACAGCAAACACATATTTGCAACAGCAGTAATACGTCTGCTGGCAGTGACAGCAAAGAACGTTTAGATGATCGCCGGGATATTGACAAGAATCGTGGTGGGGATAAAGAACGTCATCATAATCGTCACCGCACCACATCATCATCCTCTTCATCGAATGCTAATAATACACCAGCTACTCCAGCTGCTATACCCGCAACGCCACCAACAGCACCCACTGCACCGCCAACAACGTTTAAGAAGCGACAACTGAATTTCGAGCAAGAACTCACGAAGGACCTGCCTTTGGTGAATGCTGCGACTTTGAACATCAATCGGCATCGCAAGGACAGTGGCAGTCGCGATAGTCGTGATGATTTGTTAAGCTCTTCCTGCTCCAGCAATAGCAATAGTAGTCTGGTTGCGGCGCGTAAACGCCGGGAATCTTCGTCCTCTTCAAGTGGGGGCAGCCGCAACCGACACAACAGCACCAGCAGTAGCAGTGGCATCGCAACGTTAGAGCAACAGAAAGACGTTGCTGCAGTGCCGGTGGCAGTGCCAGTGACACACAAGCCCGCAGCCACCGAACATAACGGTATTTTGACAAACGCGCATGTAACTGCGCTTCCACCACCCACCTACGTACGCGAACACGTTGCCATACCACATTTCAATAACGTAGTTGTAAGCGGTCCACCACCACCAATGATGGCGGCCTATTTCAGTGGCATTGGCGCAGTGCCTGGCGGTAGCGTAGATCCCTCGATGGGCACACCCATTGCTACTTATGTACCAACGCCCGCTTTACCACCATCAGCCGGCATAGCACAGCCATCACCGACGCATAATCATAGTCTGTTGAAGAATCTACCTATGCAGCCGGTGTTAAGCCATTTAGCAGCAGCCGTACATGGGCCAGTGCCCGCGACTTTGCCCGCATCAAGTGGCGGAGTCAATGTATCAGTTTTAACGCCACCACCACCACCACAAACTTCAGCGACGGTTGTGCCACCGGCGGCGCATTCACCTGGTGCGAGCTCTAATTCTACAACAGCTTCGACCTATAACAGTATTTATGGTAAGCTACGTGATACCTCGCCTGTCATAGCTGCGCCTACTTCAGGCGTTAGCGTTGCGCCCCCAACTCCCCTCAATCCGGTTGTCGGAGCACAAGCACAAACGGCAGGTACATCAGCGAACCTCAGCCTTTCCGAGTACTTGGACACGAAGGTGAAGAGCTATAGCACCACTTTAGGCAGTTATGTATCACAAACGCATGCGTTTGTTGCTGGCGGAGGTGCTGGTAATGCCACCAGTTTACTACAAAGTGTTGGCAAAACCTCCAACAACAACAGCAACAATACAGCGCCAAGTGTCAGCAGCAGCAGTGTTGGCGTAGATACCGTTTCCGCTGTGTCAGCAGTGCTGGAGTCGCCGGTTGTCAGCAAGCTACCAGCACCACTGAAATTACCGCTGACCAGAACCGCTAGTCATGATCCGCGTCTCAATCCCCAACTGAATGCGCCCGAACCACCACCGGCACCGAAGCGAAAACTTTCCATCAATGAGTATCGTAAGCGTATGCAGTTGTCATCGGATTCCGCAACGCCTTCAACTCCCGAACCACCAACGGTTAGCAGTACGCCAACGACAACACCATCAGGCGCAGGCAATATGTCGTCTAATTCGTTGAATAACAGTTTTGTACAAGCTTACAATAGTATTGTGAATGCCTCACCTGAAGAGATGGCCAGGCAGCTGTCGTCGTCACCATCATCATCACTGGCACTCAATAAATACACGCTAAATTCTCCCGAACATAAGCGACGACATAGTGGGTCGGAGAAAGAACAACAACAAAAGGGGCATGGTGCGAATTATGATGATGCCGTTACTGGGTTGTTGAACAGCAGCACGGGCAGTAGCAGCTTGAGCGATATTTCATTGACGAACCACGAAGATGAGGGCAGAAAAGGTAAGTTACGGAAAAACACAAACGAAAAATTGGAATCAAAACAAGAAAAAGTTGAAATAAAAAATAAAAAAATATAAATAAAAAATAAAAAAATATAAATAAAAAATAAAAAAAATATAAATAAAAAATAAAAAAATATAAATAAAAAATAAAAAAATATAAATAAAAAAATAATAAAAAATATAATTAAAAAAATAAAAAATATAAATAAAAGAAATAAAAAATATGAATAAAAGAAATAAAAAGTATAAATAAATAAAAAATAAAACATATAATAAAAATAAAAAATATAAATAAATATTAAAAAATATAAATAAAAAATATAAATAAATATTAAAAAACATAAATAAAAAAATATAAATAAAAAAAAAATTAAAAAATATAAATAAAAAAATAAAAAAATATAAATAAAAAAAATAAATAAAAAAATTTAAATAAAAAATTATAAATAAAATAAATAAAAATAAATAAATAATATAAATAAAAAATAATATAAAAAAAAATAAAAAATATAAATAAAAATAATATAAAAAAAATAAAAAATATAAATAAAAAATATAAATAAAAAAATAAAAAATATAAATAAAAAAAATAAAAAATATAAATAAATATTAAAAAATATAAATAAAAAATAAAAAGTTTGTAAATAAAAAATTAAAATCTATAAATAAAAATTAAAAAAAAAATATTAATAAATTTTAAAAAATATAAATAAAATATTAAAAAATATAAATAAAATATTAAAAAATATAAATAGAAAAAATTTTTTTGTTACAAATTTCAGGTCAATTCAGTGCCGCACCCACTTTACTTGAAAAACAACAAGAATCGCTGTGCGAACGTTTGAAGCTACTGCGCAATAAGAACAAGAGTGTAACAACATTAAGTAGCGCTGCAAGTGAGTTTGCCAATCTGAAGAAAGGTAAATAATTTTTTACATTTTAATAATAGAAAATTTAGATAATTAGTCTTAAACAGACATGCAATTGTTAATAATTAATAATTGTTAATTTTCGTTATCTCCCCTCCATTTAATCTGCCAGACTGTGATCGCTATGTGAATCGCACTAACAGTATCTCGTCCACAGACAATTTGGACAATTGTCTTGAAGAAATCTCCTCTTCATCCTCCTCATCATCGGCTAGCTCACGCACCTCTTCACGGGAGCCCAGCCCAGAACGCAATGTGGTTAGCAATAACCTTTCAAGTGTATGTAAACGTGCCACAAGTGCGACCAGCAGTACCAACCATAAGTGGCTACATGATACTGATGCGATAAAAAGCTCAAGCGGTGCGTCAAAAACTGGCACACCCACTAGAGATGATGTTTCCGTTACGAGATGTGGCAGTGGTAGTGAGTCAACGACGTGAAGGAAGAAAGGGAAAACTTTTAATGACGAGTTGTACTAATGATGGTTAAAAAATGACGCTAGTTGAAACGTATGCGTCGGTGTCTACTACTTTGTTCGCGAGATATTTGCAACGTCAACAACAACGACAACAAGAACAAAACTAATGTGTTCATTTGGTAAGGTTGATAAGTAGTAAATAAAGCTAGAATAATGACAGCGCTGCGCGTTCAGAAGCTGAACAAGGAAAGAACACACGACAAAGGGAATGCTTTTTCGCTTAAATATACAGAAATTGCGAATGTACGAAAAAATTTTGTTTCTCCTACCCAAATGCGAATTGAGAAAAAATATGTTTTTTGAAAATTACTTTGCTGTTGCGCTTAATTTTAATATGCCATATCCATTGTCAAAAGTTGCATATGTAAATATTTATATATCTATATACTGGCTTATGGCACAGATAAATTGAAAGAAAGTACGAAAAACTGAAAGAAAAAAAAAAACGAATTGAAAAAGCAATAAATACTTGAAATTCGATAAATGCTTTGCTCTAGCTGACCCCCACTGGTCACTAGCATCGTATTAAACAAAATAAAAGAAAATAAAAAAAGCTGCTTACAGCGTTAAAACGTTAAATGAATTTCTCCCAAAAACTCCTCACTCCAATAACTCTTATTTGCTTTATTGTAGTTGCAAACACACATACCTAGTTATACTTATGTACATATATACATATATAAGATAATTAAGATTTTAGTTTAACATAACAATAATAAAAAATAACAAGTAATATTAACCAAGAATGAAGTGTTATAAATAAATATGTAAATATTAAAAAGTAATGTTAGTTAAATAACGGCGCGTGTGTGTAAATAATTAATATATTTAATTTAATTTAAAATTAGTTTAATTTATACAATAAAGCTTAAAGCATAATTTTGAAATCAATAAAGAGCAGTGAAAAATGAAAAAAAAAAAAACAAAAAAAAATAAACAAACCTAAAAAATAAGTTAACTTGTGCATAAATCAAAGTAGATAACATGATGTTACAACAGCAACAACAACAAAAACACACAAAGCAGCTGCTTTGAAAAAGTAGTTTAAAATTAAATTTAATTTAAACATATTTAATTTTTTTTTAATTTTGAAAATTGTCTGCTTTGAAAATTAGAATAAACTGTAGAAATGAGTATTCTTTGTATTAACTAAATAAACTGATATTTTTTACATAATAATTTAAATGAGTAAAATCAATTACTTTCAGTAAATAATTTTGAAATAAAACGCAAAAAGCGATAGAATTTCTGTTGAGATTTTCATAAATCAAATTTAAATCTAAAAAATCGAAATCAAGTTAGTTTAAATAAATTAAATTCTACTCAAAATTAGTTGAAGAAAAACGTCATTGTTACAGTTTTAATTGGATTTTAAGTATAAAACCATTTAATTTACTAACAAAAATCGATTCTAATGCTGTTGTTGCTGTTGTTGTAAGTACAAGAAAGTTTCTCCTTTTTTTTTATTTTTTTGTAGGTGGTGAATTACAATTATTTAAGTTATTACATGACTTTGTACTTTTAACACCATTTACTTTATACATTTCCTACATCTAAACTTTAAAATTTACAATAAATTCAATTTATTTAAATTGTACATTGCAGTTGCTTTAGTTAGAAACAAATCTGGGAAATTATGAGATCGTGTAATGAAAATTCTTATTGTTTTGATAGATTCAAGCTAAAATTTTTGAAATACACGCACACTCACCCCTCCCTTGCATCAGTATAATTTTTAATGAATAACATTCAATATCTCGCTAATAATTTTCAATTTCCTGTTGATAAGCCATTATTTATATATTATATAACATGTTTAATACTTTTAAATAAAAATTTTCAATTATTTTTTGCGTTAATTTGTATTTTAAAAATCTCTACTAACTATAAATTGCTAGTGTTAACAGAAAAACAATACAGAAAAATAAACTATTAATCAAAGCCATTTTGAAATTAACCTGTTTATTTTTCAGTTTACCATAACTGTAAATAATATAAAAATTTATCATAATTTTCTTATGATTTAGTGTATGGGGTATAAGAAAAAAAAAGTGTTAAAATTTAAGCGCTGGGATGGTGAAAGTCGAACTTAACTGAAATAGTAAAAAAGAAAACACGAGACAAAATAAAGTACTTCAAAATTTTAAAATTAATAATAATTATATTATTATTCACGAAAACAACGGTGCCACCATTATTATTTTCTCACCTAAGTTTAGCTTATTTACTACTTTAGTTGCCTTCAATTGTTTACTCTAGCTTTAATTTCTGCAAATTTTATTGCTTTAAATGCTTTTTTTTGGTTATGTATGTAAATTTTGCGAAAATACTTGGTTTAGAAGAAAATATTAAAAAAAAAATACCAAAAACTTCAATTTTATTATATAGTATTTTTTTCAGTTTGAAATCAAGTTTTGAATTTAAAATTCAACAAATTTAAATTGAAAAATAAAATAGTTTAAATAGAAAAAAGCAAAAAAAAAATAGAAAAAATAGACATATTATTTATATTTTTTTCTTTTATAAATAACTATTTTTTATATATTTCTTTTTTTACTTTTATAAATTAATATTTTTTATATTTTTCTTTCTACTTTTATAAATTAATATTTTTTATGTTTTTTTTTTACTTTTATAAATTACTATTTTTTTTATAATTTTTTTTAGGATATAATTTAGTTTTTTTTTTGAATAACAAGGCAAAAATTACAAAATATAACGAAATAACATGAAAATTAATTAATAAAAGGAATATTTTTTTTTAATAAACATTAAAAATTATTGGTCCAAATTTCTAAAAATCATTATATTTTAACTTTCTAATTTTTTATTTATTTATTTTTTTTTTTTGTGAAATTTGCTCATTATTTAAATTTCAAATTTTTATTATTAATTTTTATTTATTATTTTAATATTTTGAAATCTCTTATTTTATTTTTTTAATATTAAAATTTTACAATTTCAATAATAAGTTTTTATTTTTGGTTCGGCATTGTTTTAGAATTTCTTCATTTTTTTTTTTTTATTTTTTATTTTTCTGTTATTTATTTTCCAATTTTTTTTGTAACAAATTCAATAATTTTCTTCTGAGCTGACTATTTTTGCCAGCATATATCAATAATAATAAAAATAATATCAAACTATTGGCAAAGGCTTCGGATGATAGATTTCGTTTTAAAAAATCTATAGATACATACATATGTATATATTTTTTTAAAATATTTTTCTTAAGGACACTCCTTTGACATCACCTATAATTCAATTGATACTTTTTAATTAATTTAATTAAAACTTTTTCCATTTAATATTTTATATTGGCCTTTAATTATTTTTCTTACTATTTATATTATAGAAATTATTTCCGATTTTTAAGGTAATAAAGTGAAAAACTACAGCAATATAAAATAAATAAAAAAAAAAAAATAAAAAAAATAAATAAAAAAAATAAATAAAAAAATAAATAAAAAAAAATAAATAAAAAAAATAAATAAAAAAAATAAATAAAAAAAATAAATAAAAAAAATAAATAAAAAANCAAAAAAAAAAAATAAATAAATAAAAAAATAAATAAATAAAAATAAATAAATAAAAAAGTAAAAATAAATAAATAAATAAAAAAAAATATATGAAAAAATAAATATAAAGAAAAATAAATATAAAAAAATAAATATAAAAAAATAAAAAGATTAAAGATTTTAAAATAAAAAAATAATAATTAAAAAAACTTTAAAATAAAATATTAAAAAAAAATCAAATTCTTAAAATAAAAAAAAATAATTTCTTAAAATAAAAAATTAAAATTCCTAAAATAAAATAAATAGAACTGCTTATAATAAATACATATAAGAGCTAAGTGTTACGTAACCAAAACGAAATTATTTGCAAAACTAATATTTATATATGTAGCATAAAGAAGAAAAACCTAAACTCTAAGAGGCAGAAGCAGCAGCAAAATAGAAATTTTTAAAAAAGGAGTTAAAAAAACTACCATAAAAAACGATAAAAGTTGTAAATTTCTAAAAAAAAAAAAAAGTACAAAATAATTATTAAAATAAATTTATATTATTATTAAAATAAAACTGCTTAATAAATAACGTGTAAAAAGAGGGTAGAGAAAATAGAAATCAAAGTGAGAAAGTAGGTTTGTGTTAACTTTTAATTTTTAAAGAAAACTACTTTAATACTAAATTTAAAAGCGAAAACAAAAAATACTTTTAATTAATAATTACATATATAGTTTATAAGTGTTGTTATACACAATCAAAATGTAAGAAAAACATAAAAAGATTAAAATTAAAACCCAAAAAATAAGCTAAACAATGAAATTAAACAAGTTATGAGCCCGCTCCCCGCTATAGTTGTAAAATGTATTTAATTAAAAATGAAAAACAAAAAACTAAAAAATAAAATAAAACTTTAGTACTTTAATACGACTTAATGTAGATAATAAGGAAAAATATTTAAACGATTTAATTTAAAAAAAAAAAATAAAATAAAATGAAAATATGGAAATTTTTTTTTAATGAAAATTTTAAAAATTTGAACAAAATGAATGGAGCGGAATTTATGTATAAGCAGCAGTGTTTGTTGCAGCTGCTGCTGAACGCGTGCGGTCTAAATGTTTTATAGTGGTGGCACCACATGCTCACATACATACATACACAATTTTTCTATAAAATTTCACTTTATATATTGCTGCACACGTTTTCTATGCAGGCATAGAATTCGCTGATTGGTGTAAGAAAGTAAAAAAAAAATGAAAGAAAAAATCAATTAATGTAAAAAAATAATCAAAATTAAAAAAAAAACCGAATTTGACATTCAAATCTTCTTTCTATTTTGACTAATGAAATAAAAAATGAAAAATATTATATATAAAATGTGCCTCAAACATTGATGACGGACCGTGCGTGGAATTTAGCGCAAATACATGCAAACACTCACTTGTAAATATGTATGTAGTTTAAAAGATATTTTCCTACTTTTAATTTGATAAAAAATAAAAAAAAATAATGAAATTATTAAAATTAGTATGTATGTATTAAAAGTAATTTAATATGTATGCAACATTTATAATTAAATTATATTTAAAAAAAAAAAACGAATTAAAAATGAGTGAGCGACGCACATACACACGCAGCCCGTGGAAATATAGTTATACACACATATGTATGTGCTAGTAAACCTATAAATACACTTGTTGTTGCTGCTACATACATACATACATATAAGTTTCTTGTTATAGAAGCGTAACCGATGATGATGGTGATTATGATGATCATGATGGTGTTGATGAAGGTGTGTTTGTGTGATGACACCGCTGCTGCGGT